TTTGGGGGGGGGGGAGAGAATGAACCTGAGCCACATTTAGTAATTTATAAGTACAAATTATTGCATTATCAATGGTTCATTAATAATCAGACTGCCTAGCATCCTGCTGTGATTAGACTTTGATCCTTTGCTCTGCTTTTCCCGCATGTGTGAGGAACCTTCATTAGCCTCCTTGTGGTAATAAGAGTCAGGAAGCTAAGTTTGCTTTCTGTTCCATCTGTTTTAGAATGACACAAATTATTTGAAGCAGTCCTTTGAGAGTGACTTCAGGCCAGAAGTAGCACATCTCCTGGCAGTTGGGTTTATAATACACTTGATTCTTAAAGGCGTAATTTAGACAAAGAACAACAATTATAACTCTTATTCATTGATTCAACACAGGCTTTGTTGTCAAACACTGATGAGATTTGACCCAAAATTTGCAGCTCTTGAAGGTAAACAAATAGTTTGTGGAGTATTGATCCGTCTTCTAAATATTTCATCTAGGCCCCAAATGATTTGTGGCCCAATATTTTGCCTCAGGTTGGTTGTGGTTTATTTTACAGACATGTTAGCTCCCCAGTGTGATCTACAGAGACTCCCTGATCACCCTTCCCTGTCCTGAAGCTCTTGGAAAGGAGACAGGGTAGGAGGTGAGGATCTCTCATGCATACATTTCTTTCCTTTATACATATATATCTTAGCACATGATTCCAAAATATCTCCTGTATGGAGAAATAGTGCAGGGAAACTGCCCCAGAAAGAGACCACAGCTGCAATACAAGGACATCTGCAAGCAGGATCTGAAGGCCTTAGGAATAGACCTCAACAGATGGGAAACGTTGACGTCTGAGCGTTCAGCCTGGAGGTAGGCGGTGCATCATGGCCTCTCCCAATTTGAAGAGACCCTTGTCCAACAGGCCGAGGCAAAGAGGCAGCCCTGAAACAAGCAAAATCAGGGAGCTGGACAGAGGACAGATTATATTTGTCTTCAGTGTGGAATGGATTGTTACTCTTGAATTTGCCTTCTCAGCCACTCTAGATGTTGTTCCAAGACCTCCATACAGAGCACGTTACCATAGTCTCTCGAGAGTGAAGGATGCCTACTACTAGCACATGTATATACACATACACATGTACACACACACACACATACACACAGACAGAGTTACTTCAGTACATCCCCACCACCACCACTACCACCACTAAGATAATAGCTTACTCAGTGATTTAGATACCCGTCTGCCGATACAGGGTTTGGGAGTTCGATTCTCTATCATGCCTCCTGGGAGAAATCAGCCTGTGTGCCTTGAGTAAATTGCACAGTCCCAGGACACTCCCAGAAGAATGGAATGGTAAACCACTTCTGATTACTCTCCACCTAGAAAACTCTGGAAAAGATCACCATAAGTTGGAATGGACTTGACAGAACAGAGTTATCATTTTAATACTACTAAGTTAATAGCTGTCTCAGGGGCTTTGGAGCTTCCCCTCCACAGTCCGGGTAATCAACTCAGATGTAATGGGGAAATCATCCTCATTTGAAAAGGAAGGAGGAGAGCTTACTAATCATGTTGCCCATGCTGCTGCTAATATGGAGCTGTTGCAGCTGGTGCAAAAGTTACTTGTTAACATTTCCTAGTGCTTGGTGAAGCACTGGAATGATATACTATCTGTTGTTCAATTCTGATCCTTTCTTGATGGGCTTTGATGTTTGCTTGGGCTTATCTTACCAGATTCATTCATATTTAGCTTAGTTATTTCATCATGAAGTTCATAGCTCG